GATATGGATATATGGATAGATAGATATTGGTGGTTATATATCTTATATATTTTAGATAATATATTGATATATCAGATACGTTATGTCATTTTTGTTGGGAAAAACTACTCACATTACATAATTTCACATTGCATATCGCAAAATTATGAGATGAACAAAACAAACCTTCAATCCCAGGAAAAAAAAATGCTGAATAAAATACAGATAAAAAATATAAAATGGTTAAAGAAAGCAAACCGAAGCCTGTGTGATACCACAACCTTCTTAAAATAGATTCGCCGCCTCACCGTTGGGTGCTGGAGGCACGCCGGCGTCTACTTCCTAGGATACGACGGTTTTTACCAGCTACAACAGAAGCACCTTCTGATTAGCTTAGCGAACGGACTATGGCAGCACTCTCTCTCAGGAAGAAAATTATAGGAGAAGTAGACTGACAGTGTATGGATGTTAAGGAAAAATTCTATATCTCTTTTCAAGGAATATGGTCTCCTTTTATACACCATGGGGAAGAGGTGAGGAGCCTCTAGCCATCAAGGCTTCAAGAGATGGCAGCAGAAGATACTGTTTTATTTGACTACTCTAAGCCTTGCGAGGTTTCTGAGTGAAGATGTACCAGCCGTAGAGGAGAATGAGCAAGATAAACAAAAGCTCATGGCTCTGGACGCTTGGAAACAAGCAGACTTCTTATGCCGGAATTACATTCTGAACGGCTTGGCGGATTCGCTTTTCAACGTGTTCTATGCCAAGAAATCGGCTAAGGAGTTGTGGGATGCCTTGGACAAAAAGTACAAGACTGAGGATGCAAGGGTAAAGAAATTTATCGTCGGCCGGTTCCTGGACTTCAAGATGGTGGACTCTAAAACTGTCCTGAGTCAAGTCCAAGAGTTCCAAGTGATTCTGCACGAGATACATGCAGAAGGGATGGTCCTAAGTGAGTCATTCCAGGCAGCTGCTTTGATTGAGAAGCTGCCTAACGGCTGGAAAGACTTCAAGAACTACTTGAAGCACAAACGAAAGGAGATGACAGTCGAAGAGCTCGTTGTCAGGCTCCGGATTGAAGAGGACAACAGGAAGAAAGAAGGGAGTACCTCCACTGTCAAAGCCAACATGGTTGAGCATGACGAGTCCTCGGGGGCGAGGAAAAAACCACCGATAGGCAAAAGCTCAAAGTTGGGGGCTAGAGGAGGAATCTCCAAAAGGCCAGCCTACAAGCCAAAGGAGCCTACTTTTAGGTTCGATGGCAAATGCTTCAACTGTGGAAGTGACGGGCATCGGGCAGTTGATTGTCTGAAGAAGAAGCCCTACAGGAAAAACCCTCCCCAACACAAAAACCGGGCACATATGGCTGAAATGAAGGAATTGTCACATGATGTGGACGACATGCATCTATCAGCCGTCGTGTCAGAAGTGAACATGGTGGGGTCAAACCCGAGGGAGTGGTGGGTGGACACTGGGGCCACTCGCCATATTTGTGCAGAGAAGAGAATGTTCACAACTTTCGAACCGATTTCAAACGGGGAGAAGTTGTTTATGGAAAACTCTGCAACCTCAGCTGTTGAGGGTAAAAGCAAGATGATCCTGAAGATGACTTCAGGAAAAGAACTGACTTTGAACGATGTCCTTTTTGTGCCAGACATTCGTAAGAACCTTGTCTCGGGGTCTCTCCTAAGCAAGCATGGCTTCCGCATGGTGTTTGAATCAGACAAGGTCGTGTTGACCAAAGGCAGGGTCTATGTGGAGAAGGGATATATATCAGGTGGTATGTTTAAATTGAATGTAATGACACTTATTCCTAAGATTAATGAGAAAGCTTCTTCTGCTTATATGCTTGAGTCCCCTAATTTATGGCATAGTAGATTGGGTCATGTAAATTTTGACTCTTTACGTAGATTAATCAAGTTAGATCACATACCATCTTTCAAGATTAATCCACAACACAAGTGTAAAACTTGTGTAGAAGCAAAATTGACAAAGACTCTTTTCATTCTATTGAAAACCATAGCATAAGCCACCTGTATATCAAGAAGTGGTTTTGTTGATAGTACACGACCTCGAACCCCATCTAAGTGAGGATCAAGACCAGCCAAAAACTTATGCATGCGTTTGGAATTAACCTTCGTGGAGTGTATAGCAATATCATTGGTACATTTCATAATACAGGCATCAATATCATCAAGCTCCTACCATATTTTCTATAATTTTCCAAACTAAGAAATAACAGAACCTCCATTCTGTTTTTTTTTTATTGAAATGGAATGAATTGTGAATCAAGGTATTAACTTGGCATTACATAGTTTTGAAAAGAGATATAAATATGTTTTGGCATGAACATAGCATATGCACTCTCCTTATACCTTTGTTAAAATTCATACACTGTATTGGATTATTTCTACTGAGCTTTGACTCACCCTATGTGAGAAAAACATTTCAGGTGTTGATGGCATACCTCCGCCAAGATAGTGGCTTTGAAGGATTTGGAGCAAAGGCTTCTTTTGTTGTATTCATTTTTATATAGCCAAGGGCTTTAAATGTACTGATTTAAAATCCTCTTTTGTTGTAACCAAGAACTATATTGGAAAGTTGTAAGCTTTTAGAACGTTTCTTACCTATTTAACTTTCATTCTTTTCTTATATTTGTAACATATGTTATAAATTCATGGTTATGCATATTGAATGTATACCGTATATGTTTCTCTTTTGTAAATCACGTTGGACTCAATGGAATGCTAGGTCTACTATGGAATCAAAATTTATAGCTTTAGATAAAGCTGGGGAAGAAGCAGAATGGTTTCGCCACTTCCTTGAAGATATTCCAATATGGCCAAAACTAGTGCTTGCTATATGCATACATTGTGATAGTCAATCAGCTATAGGTAGAGCACATAGTCATATGTATAACGGTAAGTCTCGACACATTCGTCGTCGACATAACACCGTAAGACAACTACTCTCTAATGTAATTATTTCCATAGAATATGTTAAGTCTAAAGACAACATAGCGGATCCACTAACCAAAGGGTTAGCAAGAGAGTTAGTTGAGAATTCATCGAGTGGAATGAGACTTAAGCCTATTTAATAAGAGTTACCTCAACGACAACCCAGCCTAGTTGACTGGAGATCCCAAGATCTAGGTTCAAAGGAACAACCGAGTTGTGAATAAGTCAGAAGGATCATTGGGGAGTCTAACTCCTACCTATTTCTATGATGAAACAGTAATGTCTGCAGCATTTTAGGTTAAGTAAAATTTTAATGATTCTTATATCTAGGTAAACCTAGTGGAGTATGGCAGGATATTCTTCATAAGAATCACCTATGTGAGTGTGAACTGGGTCGGTTCTATGAGATTTGTGCAGGGCTACAAGTCTTTAGAGCACTCATGAAAGACCAGGTTGTTCAGGGCCAAAATGAACACAATAGTGAGAACTAAACTGCGTCTGGAGATATACTGTGTGAGTTCTATTGTCTTGGTTTACACAAATGGCTGAACAGTTCAAGACATCATGTTTACTGGTTAGCTAGTAAATCCGATAGTGTCTCACAAGGGAAGGTTCAAAGCCAAAAGCTACCTATCCTTTGCAGAATATTTCTAATTTCTGTACTCTTTGTATTTACATCATGTTGTTTCATTTTCTCTCTGTCAATTTCATTCATGTGGGGGATTGTTGGAAAATTTATAAAGAGGTAGTTGTGAATTAAAATAGACTCCATTTTGAATGAAAGGGTGTAACCTTTCATGGTGTCTTTTTGTTTTAAAAGAAGGGTCAAACCTCCATTTGAATGAAAGGGTGCAAACCTTTCATGGTGTCTTTTTATTTTAAAGGAAGGGTTATGTCCCTTCTTCATACCTTTTCTATTCAAATTGAATAAGTGCCAACAAAGCCTATATAAAGGCAGCCCCATTCATATTTTGATAGATTCCGAAAATTTATTTTCCTTGCTTTCATTTTGCTCTCTTGCGTCCTTTATTCTTCATATTATTTTAAGGAAAATTTCAGAGAGTTATAGAACACAAGGTTCTAGTTCGCCGGACAAATTTGTTTGAAGTGCTACTACAAATTTGTGAAAATCATTGTATCTTGGGAGATAGACGCCACTCAACCGTAAGCACCATAGCAGGGTGAATCTATCTTAAGGACAGAGTGTCACACACTCGACTTGGTCTTGTAATTTTATTTGGTTCAACAAAATAATTTCTATAAGTTTTATTTTATTTTGTTTGGATTATTTCAGTTTATTTTATTTACACAGAAAATTGTTCCAACACTATCACTACTACCACTACCTATCTTCGACCACCACCATCACCACTCTACCATTGCCACCACTAACTCTCTTCCACCACTATTACTACCACTGCCACTGCCGCCACTTTACCATCATCACCATCACCGTTACACCACCACCACTACTACTTCACCACCACCATTACTACCAGTGCCACTACTCCACCATCGCCGCCCCTGCCATTGCATCACCACCACTACCACCATCACCTCTCTACTACTTCCACTACCACGACCACTAACACTATCCCACCACCACCATTACCACCGTCGTCGCTACTATTTTTCTTCCACCACCACTGCCTTATTTTACCACTACTGTTGCCACCACTCCACTTCCACCGCCGCCGCTCCATTACCACCACCACTCCTCCACCGCCACCACTAGCATTCTATCTTCACCGAACCCACTTAAACCTCTTTTATTAAATAGGTGAGTTCAAATCGATTTCATTTGGTTTCTATTTTCGAAAACTATTTTTCAAGTTTCAATCCTTATTTTTTTAATTTTTAGTGAACTTTTTTAATATTGTAATCATTTTTTAATTGATTAAAATATATTTTAATTGATTAAAGTATTGAAAAATTTCACTAAAATTTAAAAAAAAAAATACTAATTAAAAACTCAAAAAATAATTTTTAAAAATTAAAACAAATTTTTAATACAAATCCTATTTTGATTTGTTCAAACCCACCCATTTGCCAAGTCGTCGTCGACGACGACGACAACAACCACAATCAAAAACTAACAAATTATTCCCAAAATTTCCCCCTTCTTTTCTTCTTCTTCTCCTCTTGCTCATGGTCGCTCATATGTCTCTCTCTGTCGCGCTCATCTCTCTCTCTCTCTCTCTCTCTCTCTCTCTCACACACACAACGACGTAGGGTAGCAAAGGCGGCGGTGTGCAGTGGCGTCTAGCCGCGAAAGTATCTCTCTCAGTCTCTCTCTCTCTCTCTCTCTCGTTCTTGTTTACAGCTGATTAACTGAATGCCGACTCAAACCCTTGTTCTCATCTCCATCTCTTGTCTCTTGTCTCTCATCCCTCTTTCTCCCTCACCCCTAATTTATGAACCCTAACAGGTTTTTTTCTACACAGTGCAGTCGTTGCTCTCAATCACTAGCGCCACTAGCTTCGCTACTCTCAAGTAACTCATTTTCACTCTCATTCTCTCTCTATTGCTCCCCAATTTGTGGTTTTGATTTTTTTTTTTTATGTTTTTTGAAGTAATTTTGAAGAGCTTATTTGGTGTGTATATATATATATGAACTTGATTCTTTGATAGTATAATTTCTTTTTTCCTCAGAATTTTAGTAATTTTCTTTGATTCTTGTGGCTTTTGGAAATACTATGAAATTCCTAAATATCTATATATATATATATCAGCATCACCAAGATTATCATACTCTATTAGTGATTTAGAGTATCTATTCTACATTAGGTGAGATTCAGTAGCAGGGGAATAGGATGATTCATTGTTATTGCTAATTAGTAGTGACTAGGTAGGTGGTTTGCTGCTATACATGGCTAGGTTTAGCTGTTGCACTTGGCTGAGTTCTTGCTGAATTATGCAACCTCACTTGACTAAATTATTCTTCAGCAAGCAGGGTTGTGCCATAGGTGTTTTGTTTGTGTTTTTCCCATGAGTTTCTTTGTTTGTGCTGCTCTTTTGTTCTGCTGGTTTCTCACAATGATGCTTTTGATGTAAATAAGCTACATAAGCTAAGAGCCAAAGGTGGGAAGAAAACTGATACTGTTGTTAACATGATTTCCAAAGAAGAGCCAAAGAAAAAGATAAAAAAACAGAAAGAAGAAAGGGTGGTTTTCTTCCATGTTCCAGAGGTACATTATTTTGCCTCATTCATCATCTTTTTTTTATTCAATGCTTGATAAAGTTTGGTTGATTTGTATCATAATTTTAAAAACAAAAAACAAAAACAAAAACAAAAAAAAGGAAAAAAAAGAAAAACAAAGAAACAAAGAAAGCAAAACAAAAAATCAAGAGAACTTCCCTTTTTCCGGTTCGTTTTATTGGGGAAATGCAAATCATCTATTGGACATCAATAACAGGATTTCTGTTGGATTGATTTGTATGGTTAAACCAATCAAACTATTAAAATCCAAAATTTAGATTTCATTCATTTTATATTCATATAATATATAATAATATAATTGAAAAAGAAGAAGAATGTTATGTTATTGATGTTTTAAATGTAGTGTGCACGACTTAGTGAGAGCATGTCTCTCTTTCAATCCCTTCTCTTGTTAAATGATGCCTTTTTCATTGCTATTATAGTGTCTTTTTCCCCCCCTCAAATTCTAGTTGTGTGTTGAGGTTTAACTATGACATGATGTGGTAACCTCTTATGTTTAGAATTATTAAAGAAAGTTTACTTGTCACTTTAAGATGATATATCTGAAAAAGTTATTGCTGAAAACTTCAAATGTTGTTACTTGTGATGCTAAGAAGTCACAGTTTGGACTTGAAAAAATTTTGAAAAATGAAAAGTAAAAGAAGTCAGTTTGGGAACTTTGTTTTCCTCACATTTTTATAGTGGGAAAAACTGTTGGATTTTTATAGATGGTCCATTTTATTATACTAAAACACTAGTTTGGTGGAAAAACTAGATGTAGCTTGAATGGTTTCGTGAAACGAAAAATTTGAAACTAGTTTGGTGTTCATAGAGAAAGAACAAGCAGCCAAAGAAACTAGTAAGACAAAAAATAAAATAAAAAGAAAACTCATTCAATGGTCCATAGATTTTCTGCTGTAATATTATTTTTAGAGTTTTGGCTACACAATCCTTAGTTGGCTGCAAGCAAATCAACAAATTCACATTGTAGGAACTAGGCCTCTAAATAATTTGGAGCTTGTTGCCCCTCTCTGACTTTTCCTTCAATTTTTGTATCCTAATAATATTTTGATTTCAATTATAGTTCCTGCAGGTTAGAGAGCCAAAGACAAGCAACTTTGTTACTTGGGCAATTTGCTGCTACAGATTCAGACTGTAAAGTGGAATGAAATAGTTTTTTTACAATTTAAAATAGAATTTTAAATTTTTTGAACACATCCCATTCCACTGTTATACACTCTTTGTTATAGTTTTATATATGATTTGTACAGGTGCACATTGTTCAAAAAGGTGTTGTCCAACAACTAATTCAGATGCTTCAGTCCCCGCACGCACCCGTGAGAGAGTTAACATTTGCATTGGGAGCTTGGCACAGGTTTTTATCCTAATTGAGATGTTTTTGTTTTGTTTAAAAGAAAAAAGGTTTAATTTGAATGAGGTCCAATTATCTTTGGTTTTTTTTTAATATTTATTTTCCTTAAGAGATTGAAAAGGTTTTGTGTAATTTTCTCTTTAGGAGCAAACAGTTGGCCTATTGGTCGAAATGTATTGTGCGGTGATCTTTGGAATTTTCCTTTAAAAGGGTAAATTTCTAATTGGATTGTACTGGTGAAGTTTTTTGAAAATAACTTAATGTACCCAATATTTTAATTGTGGAAAGTGCCATTGTTATTGTTTTAGTAATAAAATTAGACATTTTTTAACGAATTATTATCTTTTTGGAACCAAAAAATTCGTTAAACTTTTTTGGCATGAAATTATTTGGAAAAATATCGAAAACTTGGGAAGTTGAAAAAATAATTACAAATTCATAAAAAGTATAACACTCATTTGCACAATCCAATGCATAAATCACTTGTACTTTTATGAGTTTGTAATTATGTTTTTTACTTTCCATCTTTTTGATATTTTCTCAGATTATTAGTCTCTACAAATATATTTATTAACAATATTTTTAAAATTTTGTACAAATAAAAATTGATATTCTGATATTTTTATAATAATATTTTCATTTCAAGATAAAAAGAAAATTTAATCCCGAATATTGCAATCACGCAATTCATATATAAACAATTCTACATTTATTTAGGCTGTGTTTAGTTGGGAGATTTTGAAAGGAATTTGAAGAGAGAAAATGAAAAGGCGTGTGAAATTATGTGAAATGTAGGTATATTTTATTCACATTTTTTCTTTTTCTTTCCAAATTTCCCAACCAAATACGACGTTAAAGTTTTACTAACAATCTTACTATATGCATACATGTTGAATATTTAAATATGGTTACTTTTTAAACAATCACATTTAGTCTTGTTAAAATAGTAGAGAGAGAGAGAAAATAATATGTATTGTATTGAATGAATTGTATTGAATAATTGTAGAGTTGAATGTATTCTATATAATAGAAGGTATGTATATATAGGCTGAGAAAAAGTATCATACTAAAAACCTAATTATGATAAAGAGTATCCTACTAGAAACTTAACTATGGCTATTCCTAAATATATCTAGGAAATCAATACCTAATATATTTAGGAATACCACATATACATTAACATCCCCCATCAAACATAAGGAGGATAAACATCTTGAGTTTGGAGAGAGAAATTAAAACATGAAATAAAATTAAATAAAATAAAGGGCAAATAGATTTCAAAATCTGAACGGGAGCGCAAAGGGCGCTTGAAATAGATCAGTGGCCAGAACTAAAGTCGGGAAACAGTTTATGATCATGTCGGACCATTGTAAGAACTGGCTGAAACTAATGCCAGGACAATTTAAGATCGTGCCGGACCAATATAAAAAACTGGCTGGCACTAACGTCGAGAGATAGTTTATGGTCGTGTTGGACCATGTAGGAATTGGCTGGAACTAACGCCAGGACAGTTTAAAGGAGACATGCCGGACCGATATAGGAGCTAACTGGAATTAATGTCGGGACAGTTTGAAGGGGTCATGCCGGACCGATGTAAGAGCTAACCGGAATCAATGTTGGAACAGTTTAAAGGGGTCGTGCTGGACCGATGTATAGACAATTTAAAGGGGTCATGCTGGACCGATGTATAGACATGGATGTTGAACCTGAACCGATGTAGAGAACTGGATGTTGAACCAGCAAGCGTAGCACACACATAACTAATGACGTGGTGCTAAACGATGATGGCAACAGATAATTGAGCGTGCTAGGGGATGGCATGGATAGTGCGCCAGGGGGCGACTTTGGTGGTGCGCCAAGAAGACGGCTTAAAGAGTGCGGCAAAAGGAGACGGCTTAAGTAATGCGCCAATGGGGCGGCTTAGAGAGTGTGCCAAAAGAGGCAGTGCACCAAGGAAACGGCTTAGATGGTGCGCCAATGAGACAGCTTAGTGGTGGTTTGGGACTTAGGTGGTTCACATGGTATATCACCATGCTCACCATGATATAGGTATAATACCCCCCTCAAACTTAAATAGGTTTGAACATAGAAATTTGAGATTGAAACAGAGGGAAAGACAGAGTGGAGCAGAAGCGCAAAAAAAATATATGATAGAGATATTTAAGGTAGGAATAAACCAGCGGATAAAGGAAGAGATCACCACAAAGCGATATTGACAGGAAAATATGACAGCGGAATGGGTTGAGGTCCGGCGGGCGGCCAAAGCAAGGCTGCCGCCCGCCGGTAAGGCGAAAACACTAAGAACTTAACCTATTGCTCTGATACCATGTTAGAATAGTAGAGAGAGAGAATAATATGTATTGTATTGAATGAATCGTATTAAATGAATTGTATTGAATAATTGTAGAGTTGAATGTATTCTATACAATATAAGGCATGTATATATAAGTTGAGAAAGAGTATCCTATTAGAAATCTAATTATGAGAAAGAATATTCTACTAGAAACCTAACTATAACTATTCCCAAATATATCTAGGAAATCAATACCTAATATATTTAGAAATACCACATATACATTAACAAGTCTATTGTATATTTAATAAGATTATTAATATATGTAAAATTATTCTTCATATATTGATGAGTCATTGTTATTGATAATTGAATTAAAAGTAGTGCCACATCCTTCAATTTTGTCCCCCCAATTCCATCTCAAATAACATGGCCTACCTTTAGACCTCAGAATTTACAGTTGATCTCAAGCTTCCTTAAAACCATTGAACCCTCCAATTATGTTTACTACTCTCTTTAATAGGCAAACATGTTGTCAAATTTTGCAACTTACATTTTATTTTATTTTATTCTGCTAAAATACAACTCTAAAATTTTGGAGTTTATATTACTTTCCAACTACATGTTTTATTTCTCAAAACTCTATTTTTCTTGGCAAAGACTTTTCAAATCTAAATTTCAACTCTTTTTAAGGCAATAGTTAAGGTAAAAACTGTTCAATGCACTTTTCTTTAATTAATTTATTAAATGCAAAAAGAAAATGAGAAAAAGATATCAATGAGAGAAGAAAAAATAAAAAGCCCCTAATTTGGGGGGAAAAATCAATGGGGTAAATAAGCATTTTTTCATCAAAATTTAAATTAAAGAGCTAATTGTTGAAAAATTCAAAATAATTAGGATATAAAGCAATAGGTCTAATAGATATTTTTTATTGGTGAAAAATTCACCTTTTGTAAAATAATTTGGTAAGAAATCATTTTAATAGTTATGGAAGACATTTTGTTTCTAATTTTACCCCTTACTTTATCTGTTGACTTTCATTGACTATTTGTTCAAATTTTTTCCTTATCTATTCAAATTTTTTTTCTATCTGTTCAAATTTTTTTTCCTACATGTTTACTTTTTTAATCTTTTAATTCAAATTTTCCTTATCTGTCTAATTTATTATTTGCTCAAATTTTTTGAATATCTGTTTACTTTTTTTCCGTATCTCTTCAAATATTAGACCAAATATGATTGGTCGAAATGCTTTATTTGTTCAATCTTTTCCTTTATTTGTTTAACTCCATAAAGAACTTCCATTATTATCTGTTCATTTTTTTTTAACAGATCTACGTTGCCTTTTATTTGTTCAATTTGTTTCCAAGATGTTTTGCTGCTCTCGACAATCATGCATTGTTGCAATGCCTTAACTACACTCACAGATCCACCCAAACTCATTAATCAAAACATTAACGTGACCAATTAATAAAACATGTATCTTGGAATCCTATTAATGAAAAACAAACAACTCATACATTGAGCATTAGCCAGAGACATCATCACCAGCAACAAGGAAAGATGTGATCCAACACATAACTATAAAAAATCATCATTGCATCTCAAAAGGGAAGTAAGTAGGACGCTTTAGCTTCCCAACAGAGTAATGCTAGAGGTCCTAAAAATTCTACTAATGTTGTGTTTGATTGGGGGATTTGGAGAAGGATTTGGAAAGGAAAAGAAAAACACTGTGTGAAACTAAGTGAAATGTAGGTATATTTTATTCACATTTCACCTAACTTTTCTCTTTCCATTTCCAAATCCCTCCTCAAATCCTCTAACCAAACTCTCTAGCCAAACCAGCGTAAAAGTTTTACCAAATGTCTCACATGGGTGTGGGACCCACACAATGTGGTCCCATGTGGGTCCCACACCCATGTGAGACATTTAGTAAAACTTTTGATAGAATTTTTGAGACCTCTATCATTTTTGATAGTGAAATGGTAGAGAGATCTCCTACACTGAATTTATGAGGGTGCAGACACTTGTCCCACTAACGGAACCAAAGATTGAGATGAATCCCTCACTAAAATATCGTCGTTTTGGTGAGAAAAGTTTTAAATATATAAAATGAATTGCAAGAAAGAGAGAGAGAGAGAGAGAGGACACAACCACCGAAGTAAATACTTTCTCCCACCTAAAAAAAGAAAAGAAAAAAAACCTTCCAGATACAGTCAAGCTTTATAGAACCATGAATTGCAAGAAAGAGAGAGAGAGAGAGAGAGGACACAACCACCGAAGTAAATACTTTCTCCCACCTAAAAAAAGAAAAGAAAAAAAACCTTCCAGATACAGTCAAGCTTTATAGAACCATGAATTGCAAGAAAGAGAGAGAGAGAGAGAGAGGACACAACCACCGAAGTAAATACTTTCTCCCACCTAAAAAAAGAAAAGAAAAAAAACCTTCCAGATACAGTCAAGCTTTATAGAACCATGAATTGCAAGAAAGAATCAAACAAATTCACAAGCAAAATGTAGTTTCTCAATAACTTTTCTTGATCATCAGACACTACCTGTCAAAAGATAAGAACAAACCCATGAAGATAAACAAGAGAAAAGCAAAAAATGGCCTATAAAAAGCAGAGACCTTAAAGCACAGACCCGCTTCTTTCTCACTCACTACTAGTAGCAGTTGGATAGTTGAAGTTAGTAGAAAAGAAGACGAAACCCTTGTGTTCCTGTGATGGGTTGGTTCTCTTGTCTGTTTCTTACAAGCCCTTTCTCTTCACCAGAAATCCCAGCAAGTCTTTTGTTTTGTGGAACCCATCGATCAGATCATACAAGGAAATTTGGCCCTCTTTTGAGTTCAATGACTTTGGACTTCACGGAATTTGTTACGATCCCAATATTGATGATTACAGGGTGATTATTCACTGGCAATACATTCAAACCCATGTTTTGATTTATGGTTCGAAAAGCAATTCTTAGAATACGATTACTGAACCCTGTTATTCAATTTTGGTTAACCGAATTGGGGTTCTTGTGAATGGTGTTCTTCATTGGGTTATGGCTTCGAAAGAACTCCGGCACAGAAGGAGAAGGAGAAGAAGAAGAAGAAGAAGAAAAAGAAAGGAGAAGGGGAGGGAAGGGGTAGGGTCGCCGGGAGGGAAGGAAGATGCGCCGGAGATGGAGAAAAACTCTGGTCTGGTGGCTGTGTGTCCTCTCTCTCCCTTCGTTTCTCTTTTCACGTTTTTCCTTCCTTTTTTTTTTCAAATTTCCCCCACCAAAACGATGTCGTTTTGGTAAGGGTTGATCTTAATCCTTGATCTGGGACAGATGTCACGCCCTCATAAATTCACACTCTACTATTTCACACTAGAGAATCTTAACGCTCTCTAACATGCATAGAAAGAAGAAGTCCGCTATTAAATTAAAACTAATCACCTGACAATTCATATACTAGAGAGAAATGGTAAATTACAGATATATATTTACTTAAAATACGAATTATTTTTTGTAATTTAAAAAATTATAAATATTTTTTATCAAAATTTTTTATTTAATAAAATTAATTAAAAAAAGTAAATTTTTTAACTATTTTCTTATATAATAATAAAATTATTTAAATTATTAATTAAAATAAAATTTTAACATTAATAAAAATAATTAATTAACCTGACAATTTATTAATAAAATGACATATATGTTATGAGAAAAAACAATAGTGATTCTTGGTAAGAACAGTATAATCATAAACTCTATAATCACCTTGCTATTTTGGTCGGGCTTTGAAGGATCCAGATCCGGCACCACCGCCGTCTCGTTCACCGCCATGTGAGAGACAACGTTTCTAACTCTCTCTCATTTTGCTTCTATTCTGTGTTTGAATAAGGGAGAGAGACGATGGAGAGAGAGAAATCTCGCCCCTTTTTCCTCTTCGTAATCTGGACGAGATCACAAATGATGCGGTGGCGGCGGAGAGAGATCTACCATCAATGGCAAAGCTCTAGTTCGAGAGAGGAGTAGTAGCGGCACGGCTGGAGAAGGATGGCGGCGGACGAGGGTGTGAAAATCTGTTGTTTGGCGAGACAAGGATCGGGAGGCAGAGGAGGAGCGGCGGCAGTGGTGGCAAGTTTCCAGCGGATGGCGGCGTCTGGGACAGAGATTGGAAGCGCTATGCCATAACCGAACACGCAATGGAATCTCAAAGGCAAATCTGTTAGCCATCGCGATTAATCCATCTTCAAAAACCAAATCCGTCACCATCGCCGACTCTTGGATCCTCCGTCGCAGACAGTGACATCCATCATGCGCCGCCGCCCTTCGGCACTGCTGCGTCGATTTGGAGAGGAGAGGAGAGAGAGAGAGACAAGCGGTGAGGGTTTGGTGAGCAGGAGAGTAGGGAGAGTAGGGGTGTTGGCGGTTGGTTGCGGGCGGTTTTAATTCGTTCATCACCAAATTAATATATTAAAAAAAATTAATCTACATTCGTCTACTGGGTTAATGGATATAGGTTGAATAGATTGACAGATAAATGGATGAGAATTAATTTAACGGTTTAAATTTTTATAAATTTTAAATATAATATAACTTGTCAATATTTTTGTTGATGTAACAATCCAACTCAACGTAACTAAAACAATATCAAGTAAATTTTCAAATACGAATAATAAATACATATAAAAAAATCATGTATTATCAAAATTATTTCATTACTTTTTTTACTAAAAAACTATTTATTTAATTTTTTTTAAATACCAAATACCAAAAATACTAAATATAAACACTTATCATTTAATAAAAGGATTTTCAAATTGAAAATATAACAGAATATCTAATTTTTTTTTCAATTGAAAATATAAATAGAATATTTAAACAAATTGAAAACACAAAATCTTACAAATTACTAGGAGTACTAGCTATTTGGCAGTTCGATTGCGATCAAAGGAACCTCAAATCCGTCATCCGTCCAAAACTAAGCAGATTGGAAAAAATTAATCTGTAATCGTCCACTTGTCATTATGCATCCGACCAAAATGCGACGGATCAGTTCGGTTTGGACGGATCAGAGTATCCGCTACTTACTCTTACAGGAGAGAGATGAGAAAAACAAAGACGACAGGAAGTGAGAGGAGTGGTTAGAGTTTGGTTTGGTTTTGATACAATATATATGGATAATTTGGTCATTTTCATAGAATTTGTCCTTACGAACATAATGTTTTAGAGGATGGACCTTTGGACAAAAAAAATCTTAATTTGGATTTATAGATCAAGTACTCTAACTTAAAATCAAAATAATAATTTCTAAAGATATTGGGAGCAGTTGCCCCACTCATACACTCGTCATTTCTTACCAAAATGTTAGAAATCTTTATAAGTTTTTTTTTTTTCATCAGATATTCGGGTCAATTTATACGCACTTCGACTAATTTTATAAGTAATTGAGTCTTAAGTAGTTAATTTTTAAACTAATCAATAATTGACGTGGAATAATTAAATAAATTTCAAGATCATGTTTTAAGAGTTTCAAACTTTTTACCGCTCATTTGATGATGCATGCTCGATTTTGATTTGATTCTTTTTTTCTTTTCCTTTTTTTGTCAATATATAGGAAAGTAATTATATTATGAGAAATATTTATATCATCAAACAGACTGTTAACCCATAATAACTAAAAAGTCAATAAAATCTATTAGCCAAACGAATGCATCAGAATAGTTCACACTGAATAAATTTCAAGACCATGTCTTAAGAGATTCAAACTTTCACCGCTCATTTGATGATGCATGCTCAATTTTGATTTGATTCTTTTTTCTTTTTCTTTTTTTTTCGTTTTTGTCAACGGTAGTGCTACTAACATATGTTATGACATTATTATTGACCCCATCCATTATACAAATTACAAATTCTCAAAATCTCTAAAATTATGTCACATGATCTGTTAGTATACTAATTAGGCCTCGTTTGGGAACAGGCTAATTTAGTAACTTCTTGGCTATTTGGCTAAAAAGGTAGATAAAAAAAACTTGTATGTTTGGGATGACTTTTTGGCTAATTACGAAAAGATGTGCAAAAAGCAGAGAGAAAAGAGAATATTTGACTTTTTGATATGAGTTGTTGGCTTTTTGGCTAATTGGCTAAAAAAGTAAGTCCCCAAACGGGGCCTTAGTATACCAATTAGTACATATAGTATTATTCTTTTGTCAATAAATAGAAAAGTAATTACATTATGAAAAATATTTAAAAATAATTATTAACTAGTCCAATTAACTAGACTTATTAAGTCTTATAGCTTTTTGAATATACCAATAAATTATGCCCCTATTAAATTATTACCTATAAATTCTTTCCTCTTTTCTTGTCTTCTCTCTCTCTCTTTTTCATTGTGTTCCCAAAATTTTCATACTATTATCATCTACCACTACCATCACCGTTCACCTGTTGGTGTTATTATCGACCACTACCGTCTTCATATTGATGTGTCTAGAAATTGCAAAGCTGCTATTATCCATGTTCCTTACAAATGGAGGGAGTAGAGTACCATGTGTAACGCATCACCGAAAAAGCACATGGATCCTTAACACTCAAAATGGTTTATGTTCATCTTAGATCATGTGAGAATTGATTTTGTGCATATTATCAATTGAAAACTTTTTTAGGGTTTTTTCAACATAATCTAGAGGATGAAGATGGGATACAAATGAATCTTGTAAGTGAATGAGTGAATATGTGTAACCATGATAGATATTAATGAATACCTTTACAGTAATGAATTTTATCAATCCCGTTAATAAATTTACAGAGATAAATTTATCTGTTAGGATTTATAGGTAAATAAATCTAGTTAATAGGACCGGCCCGTAAGTGCCCTAAATATTTATATAATTAAATAAACTACTTGCCTACAATAGTTAGAAAGTCAATAACGAAGTCTAACAACCTACCCACAAAGCACGCCAAATTAAGTCCAACAACCACTAATAATCACATATAACCCTTATAAAGGGGGAGAAATAGACTAACCACTACAAACGATATCAAACTGTTCTCTATAGGAGTTAAACTCGAAATCTCACACCGTAAAGGGTGTTATACAACCACTAAGCCAAATGTCCTAGTTATATTTGATTCCAATATTTATGGTTTCAAAGTTCAAATTAGATATTTTAAATAAAATTTGTTTTATGCTATGTTTAGTTGAAAGATTTGATGAGAGAAATTAAAAAGGAAAAGAAAATGCAATCTTACTTTTTATTTTGTTATAATGGAAAACATAGGTGAAAAGAAAGTGAAAAGAAAATGTAATCCCACTTTTTATTGTTTGGGTTCATTTATGCTTTTTTCTTTCTCAATTTTTTAACTCAATCAAACATTAGTTTGGAATTTGAATCCTATCATTTTTTTCTCTTTTTCTTTCTGTATGAGCACGAAATAATCTATCTCATATAATCTTATCGATCAAGTTTGCACTCCTCCAAATGTCGTCGTCTTATCACCTGAAAACACAAACATGAGCTAACTAGTGGGTGTGTGTCGGAAATCCCTCTGATACCTAAGTTAACAAGTAGACAATAGATACAAAAGCTCTGTGAATTCGGAAGTATGCATTGCAATACCTGGAAATAGGTACTGTCTTGAGCTTTTATAGATTTCGCGTGGCACAATCCGAGTAGGACTTTATCTTTCCTTAGCAGAGTCCTCATTGGAGTCACAATCCCAAAGGATAATGTTTATTCCTAGGACACTCTCCTCATTGCCAGCCAAGCGAGATGGCCAGAACTCTATTCGACTGTTGGTTGCTCGACCGAGCTACCTATTTCTGCTCTTTCTCTATCCGGACAGTCCAAACAACCAACTGATGAGCTACCGAGCTAAACCTAGCTTGGCCTTCCTTACCGAATCCACCCCGGTCCATTAAGGATCATACCTTGGTAGCTAAGTTCATGCCCAAGCGACTCATCGTTGACCGACCTAGAGCCTAAGTGACCCGAAACCAAGCTATCTAAGCCATTACCTTGGCCTACTGTTTGGCCTCACTTTCCAAGACAATTTCACATAGCTCGGCCCAATTTGTCTACACAAATTACCCTCTCACTTTCTATTACATTTTCCTTTTTCATTTTTCTCATCAAGTTTTCTAACCAAATACATAATTAATTTTATCTAGAAATATCAATTTTTAGTGCGGCTTACACCAAAAAAATAAATAAAAAATACTATGTCACCTCCCCGCAAAAAACGGAAAAGGGGTGCCGACTGTACCGCAAGTATTGCTATGTGGCAAAATGGCACAATTTTGGTGCGTTTCTTTTTTGTTTTAATATAATTTTTCTTTTTCTTTTTTTGGTTGGTATGTGTGCTGCTATTGGTTAGTTTTTGGTTTGAGCACACCTGTCAAAACTACATTGCTTTAAGAAAAATTAACAAAAATTATAAAGGAAAATTATAAAAAAAAATTCAAAATTTGATCTTTGTAACAAAATAAATCACAAATTTTTAATTTTATCAATTGAAACCTTAACTTTTTTATTTTTTTTTAATTTAAATTATTGACCTATTTTCATTAGATAAATTGACAGAAAATAATATTTTAGATATTTTATGTATATTTACATTGAGTTTAATGACTAAAAAAAAAAATTGTGAGTTTTACCTAACAAAAATGGATAAATGGTTGAGATTAAAAACAAATCAAAATATTAAAATTTAATTTGATAATATTAAAAATTCATAATTTATTTTGTTACAAAGATCACTCTCTAAGAATTTTTTTATAATTTTTTCAATAATAATAAAAATCACATAAATCATTTTCATTCAAAACCATCCCCATATCTATCTACTTTCACGTAAAACAATCTACTTTCACGTAAAACAATCTACATAGTCACATCATCACATAAAGAATACACGAGTCACCCTTCTAGGATACTAGCTACTTCCATGGCAATCAAGGACCTCCAAATGAAAAGAGCATTGATCAAGTACCTTTTCAAAAGGATCTCGATGAATACAATGGATAAAAGCTATATCAAAGAAGTTTAACTCCATACTCATATAATCACATAATCACACAAAACACACAAGGCATATAAGTATAACATCCTAGCCTAGGGAACCCATTGTGACAAATGTCACTTCCCATAAGCCTAAGCTATTCAAACCTAGCGCTCTGATACCAATTTGTAATGTCCTGCTATATCTTACACAAATACACCACAATAAAGCATAGCAAAAACCCAAAAATCATCTTTCTTATTGAACTAAGATTTAAGAAATTACAATTTCAAGTTTACATTTCTAAGATATTTTGAATCTATCTCCAAGTTCAATGAACTAGATGATATTACAAAAAAGAAAGGCCAG